AGAGGAGTCAGCTGAGATGGTGGACATCTGTTTCGCCACTGAGTCCCAGAGGAGCTGGAGGAGGTGTCTGAGAGGAGAAAGGTCTGAGTGTCTCTGCTGGTTCCAGGTTAGCAAAGGAATGATTGTTAAATGTCATCCCCCCCAAGGATCTGTTTCCTGTCAGAGTTTGGCAAACAGCTCACTTATGACTACATATGTGTTAAAACTGAACCTGAAGACACAAAGCTGGCAAAATAAAAACTTCTAGAACAAACTTTTCCCTCCAACCGGACACTTCTGGCTCTCTCCTGCAAGGGACATATGGAGCAGCCTGAGGGTAAGTGAGGGGACTGAGTGGGGTCCTTCTGCCAAAGAGTGGAAGTGGGCCACAGTGGGAGTGAAACGTCCCCCTGCTCTGTGAAAAACTTCCAGCTCAGCAGAAGCTTTTCCACTGGGTGAAGTGATGCAAGAAGACAGATAAACGGCTTCTGTCTGATTTGTCTTTCAGTTCAACAACCAATCAGCAGCGCGGAAACATCTCACCTGTGATTCACAACAAATCTTAACTTCTTTCTGCAGCAGAATTTTTGTTGCAGGAGTTAAATGGATGTAATTGCCTGTTCAGAATAATTAGTCCAGAGCCTTGTTTAGCTTCTCTGACCTTATTACTGTTCTTTTTGCTGCAGCTCAGAGTCACGTGAGGCAGAAGAAGACACTGCTACGCACTGAGGTTCTCTGAGGCAGCTCACTAGAACAAGGATGTGTATATCAGCATCACATTCACAGAGTTCTTCAATGGAACCTTTATCTGCATGATGGGAAAAGGACCAGGGAAAACAGACCATTAGGGTACATGGACAAGGGGACAAGGACCAGGGGACACGGATAAAGGGAGAAAGACCACCAGGGGACATTAAACAGGGGACAAGGATCAGGGATAAAGGACCAGGGAACAATATCATGTGACACTTTAGAGGTCAATAAAGTTTTTTTGAATTTCAATTGAAAACGAGACAGTGCCAAGAACACTGCAGCACCTGTAAAGCACGAGTGGGGCAGCATTATGCTGAGGGGCTGTTTCCCCCGTGAACTAGATAATGGAGACAGAATAAA